ATAATCCTACCTTTATGAAACACGTGGAGAGAGGATTGAGACAAGTTTGCATTCCTGGGAAGTGGGGGGGTAAATTGCAGAGGTGAGGGTGTGGGGCTGGGGCAGACCCGAGTTATGCTTAGAGCACATTCTGTCTGTCCAATTTCCCGACACCCCTCATGGATGGTCCACTCAGGACTGAAAAGGGAACAGAAAATGCGACACACACACACACACACACACACACACACACACACACACACACACACACACCTCATTTACAGCTCCAAGACATCAGCAGAGAAAGAAAAGTAAGGAAGTGAGTATTCCGGCTGGGAAAGGCGCATTAAGTTTTATGAACCAGTTTCTGACTGCTGAGGGCTTTCTTCCATCTCGTGGCAGCAGTGGGTCTCAAAGGCAGAGAATGGAGTTTCCTAATGGAAAAGTCCAATTGGAAATGGCTCCGAGGGCCTGGTTACTGAACGTGCCCTTTCAGTGAAACCTGCGGTATAGTTTGCCGTGTAGGGAGTGATGGTTAGTCCCAGGGTTGGGAGGGGCCAAGCTGCTGAGTCTCAGGGCACCGGGCAGGATAGAGAAAACCCTGGAGACCTCTTGGTGGGCAGAGGCCAGGGCTGCCAATGGCTAGACACTGCAGAGCAGAGGGCCAGGCCATAGATAGAGGCAGAAATGGTCAGCAAGTGGTGGTTGTGAACAGCAGGGAACTTGCCGTTGCCAGTGTGGGTGACCCCTCAGTCCACCCCAGCATGAGTTGACTGCTAACTGGACCAGGAGTGGGGGGTGGAGAGGAAGCAGAGCTCCTGAGGTTTTGCTGATGTGCCCTGTGGAGGGTTGATGGGCCTGGAGGTGGGCAGTGGGAAGTTCGGCTAGAGGATGCCTCCCACTACACCCGGCACCAGAAGCTGGTGGGCTGAAGGGTCACCCACAACTGGCACAGTCCCTCTCTGGGTGGATGGAAGGAGCATCAGAGCAGAAGGGGATTTTGAGTAGGCAGAGGGTGAAGGTGTGTTTTGGGGTTCGTGGTGTCTGCAAGTCACTCTGAGGAGCAATGTGCCAAGAGCACAGTGCAGAGAAGGTGCTAGAGATGGGGATCGTGGGGTCCACTGAGAAGGAGTGGGGCTGAGGAAGGAGGAGTGCCTTCTGGGAAGGACAGAGGCCAGTTGGACACTGCAGGACTGTAGATGGATAAGAAGCATGCTGGTGAGAAGAGAGCAGGCAGGTGTTGCCAAGGCAAGAGGCTGACGGGGGACTCTGAGCAGAGCAGGGACAGGGAAGGAAACAGGTTGAAGCACCACGGCTGTGGTATGGGTGGAAGGGAGCAGCACGAGCTGGAAAAAGGTGCTTCTTTCTCCAGGTAGTTCACTCACGTCAGAAAACTACTGTAAGACTGATTTTATGAGAACAAAACACTTTACTGCCACCTGCGGGAAAATTGTTATAATAAATAATAACTGTACGGGGTCTTAGATGTGGTGCCTATACGAGCTGGCTCTAGTTATTGCCACTGCAGTAAAAGCAGTCTTCAGGAAGGCAACGGAAATTTGCCAGCAAGGATGCTTTGAGCTGTGGGGAGTACGCCACCCAACCCAAGATGGCTTCAACAATAAGGAATTTATGATCTCGCTTAACAAGACGTCTGGAGGGAGGGCGGCCCCAGAGCTGGTTCATTCTTGGTTTGCTTCGGGGAGAACCAGATCATACCTTCCTGTGTGCACCAGACCATGGCTGGGCCCCTCGCGATCACCAGATGGCGGCTGGGTCACACAACGTGATGTTCTCCATAGGTTAAAGGCTAAAGAATGAAGATGTCTCTCCATGTGTGGCCTTTGTTACTCAGGATAAAACTTTCTCAGATTCTTCTCTAGGACCCTCCTTCCTACCCAATCACCACGCTGTTTCCATCACATCCATGGACTATGAATGCATCAAACCCTCTTCCTAGACCATACATGCCCAGATTAATGGCTTCACTTTGATTCATTGGTCCAATCAAGCACTACACCTTCCTGGGGCTTCAGAGACAACTTCCACAGCATAGCACATGGCCACAAGGAAAGCTGACTAACATCGGGGTTCTTTTTCGCAAGGCAGAAGAGAAACAGAGAATGGCTGTTGGAAGCAACCCACAGAGTCGGCCAGAACACTGTGGACAGAGGAGTCTACTATGAGTACATGGAAAAAAACAAATGAGGAACTTTATAGAACTTCAGAAGAGGAGATTTTGTGTGGAAAGTCTATTTTGACTATGCCCTAAACATGCCTGAACTTTCTTGTCCAAAGTGGATTTCACAAAAGGTTTCCTCTGACTGTAACCAGAGAATTGGGAGTCATTTGACTTTACCTCCCGTTCCATTGTCTCCTCTGCCTCCAAACCTGCCCTATCTAATTGTCCATCCCTATGCCAGTTTCTCAACAGCAACATTACCATACTTTCAGACTCAATAAAAACTTAGAAGAAAGGGGGGTGGGGTTAGGTAGTGTTTCCTACGCGTTAAAAGATGTTTAGCAACTCCTGAATGCCAGTAGCACCTTCACTCCACCCCAACCATGATAATCAAAAAACTCTCATTAGACATTACTAAATGTACCCTGGAAGACATAATTGCCCATGGTAGAGAACCATTATTCTTGCAAATAGAACTTTGATCCAGTTTCTGATTATGGCTTATTCATGTACTTATCTTCCCACTACCCATGTCTAACCCCTGCCCTTGACCCTAATCAGGGTACTATAATTGTGCTGTGACTCTCTCCATCATGAGTCCTGGAAAAGTTACAGCTCTGTTTATCTCAGACATTGTTTCTAGAACCTACCACCAAGTCTGGTAACAGGTGTCCCTCTCTATATTCACTGATGCATTTTTTTTAATGAGTGAAAAGCAAGAATGAGCAAATGCTTCACCCCTGCCCTAATTTTTAGTTCATCCTCAGTTGACTGAGAAACCAGCCTTCTAGAATGGTCACTGGTCAAACATACACCATCTTGAACCAATGTTCTTCACCATTTATGATGACAGATCTTGTGGTCACTAGACACTCACCTCCTCAAGGATTTATACCCTCAGAAGCCCTCTTATGTGCCCACAGAGAACTCCTGTATCCCAAGGGAAGAATTTGGCTAGAATGACTTTCTGAAACCCACAGCTATGACTAAGGCCAGTCCAGCATCCTGTCCTTTTGCATTTCCTCCTGCCTCTAATACAAGGCTCTAACTCCTCAGCTGCCACACAAGGTCTTCAACAGGTCTCTATCCTTGCCCTTTCTGCCCCCACTTGCTTCCCTGCAAGCCCTAGGGTTCTCTGACAACTTGTGGGCACTCTTTCTCTGCTTCGCCTGTAAGGATACAAATAACAGTTTGCCATACTCTGGGATCTACTGGAGGCCAATGTCACCTGTAAGTCCCAGTTGTGGCCTCCAACATGTTCCACAGCTGCCATCTGGGGCGACCCAATGAACATTTGCTGCCGTGGCCCCCCTTGGCCAGTCCCTATTCCCGAGTATCACCTGTTGGCCTCTGTGGCTCCAGAAAGACAATTCAACCCAACTGGTGGTAGAGCCAGCTCCCAACTAAAGACAGCCAGAAGAGGACAGTGCAGAGAGGGACACGAGCTCTCAGTGACAGAGCAGAGACGATGGATCAGCCCCTGCCTGACGCTAATTCTCCAAATGTTTCATTTCTGCAAAGCTGCTAAGTTCCTTTCACTGCACTGGGGTTTTCTATCACCTGTGACTCAAATGTGACTCCAAAAAATTCCCAAACGAACGAAAGAAAAGGGAAAAAAATTTTAGCCACAGTGTTTCCAAAATGTGTGGGGTCCAGCTATTCTGTACTGACTTCCTCCAGTCAGACTGTACCTGAAAGGAAAGGAGCGAACACCTCCCCTCTGTCACCAGAGAGAGATGTGCTATTCAAGATCTTATGTTCTCTCTTATGCCTCTGAACTTTGCTTCCTCCATGACTTTATCCTCTTTTCCTTCCAATTCTCTGTCTCCCCTATTCCTAGTGCGCTGGGCACCTCACAGTGGCCGCCCCACCCCTTCCTATCTTTCGGGTTGTTGGCTGTTCTCTGTGGGACAAATGCCTCACGCAGGCGCACAGCGGCCGCTGGCAGGGGGATCACTCCAGACTGGCTTTCCCAGAAGAGTTTTGCGTCTCATCCTAGGTAGAGTCTCAGAATGGACCACCAAATTCTCAGGTCCCTGGACCTTTCCCTCATGCACAGCTGGACCCTGAGGGTCACCCCCAGCCTGAAACCTCCCCCAAGAGACAATCACTCAGAACAATCACCTCCAGTCCTGGCCAACCAGGTGGGCAGGAGGGAGGCCTCAGGCCAGTTCTAAAGTGCAGCGAAGAGCCAGGGCCCTGGGATCCTGGCCCAGCACAGCTGACTCAGGGGAAAGGAGCAGCTTTCCTGAGGAGTAGCAGAGAGCCAGGCCCAGAGGGCCAGACCCAGTGGGTCTTATTTGAAAACACCATGTCACCATGTTCTGAGCTTTCTCTGAGTATGCGCCTGCAGCAACCCTGCCAACTTCCTGTGGCCCTAGATGGCTTCAGACACCAAGAATCAGAGGTGTTGTTCGAGATCAGACCTCCAAAGCAAGCCAGGAAGCAGAGGGAGGGAATCCCAAGAAACCCCGTAAGTGGGAAACAAGAACACCCCAGGGATCACAGAGGCAGCCCTGCCCCCAAGCCACCCTCCCTCTTCCCACTCCTCAGCCCTGCCCAGGCTTTTCCTGGAGGTGTCCCTATGCATCAAGAGGAAGCTCATCCCGGACAGGACAGAGCCCACCTGACACAGGCAGCCCACAGAGGCCACAGCCATGCTCTGATGAGGGGCGTGAGGCAGGCTGAGAGTGCTGGGATGTCAGTCTCCCTCAAAGCCCATCGCACCTTCTTCAGTCCTGCCTGGGAACTGTTCTCTGGAAGCAGCCCACCGCCCTCCCTGCAACACGCCACTCAGGTAGTACACACACAACCACTCCACTCTGCAGTTCCAGCTCTTTTATACGGAAATACATATGGGTGACCTCAAAAGGGTCGGGGCTGGGGAAGAGAGAAATGGTGAAGTGGGGTAGGGTAGGGGGATCCCCGGCTTTGTGTGGTGACTTTTGGAGCACCTCCATTCCTCTGGCAGGACACTCGGGTCTGGAGATCTGGAGAAGCTCAGGCAGAAGAGGCAGCTGGTCCGGAGCGGCAAAGCCTCAGCTGAAGGGTTTCACCAGCTTCATGGCTGCATAGTTCTGAAGACAGAGGATGCAGGTGTTGGGGACACTGTCCTACACTCCCACCCCCACCCCTTCTGCCAACTGTCCACAGTCTGTGCTCCTGCCCTCAGGTAAGCAGACCCCCACTGGAGCTACAGCTGCCTAACTTCCTGAACCTTTCCCCCACCAACCCAGTATCCACTCCACCCTCCACCCTGCTGCCAGGACTCTGCCCACCCAGGCTCTGTGACCTCCTCCATCAGACAGGCAGCCTCTTCCATCAGACAGGTGGTCAAAAATCAAGGCCATGACACTCCTGACCCTCTCCCCCATACACATGCACACCCCACCACAGGGGCCCCAAGCTCCTGTACAGAGGGAGAATGGGGTAAAATAGACGAGGAGGACCCTGACAGAGGCCAACATTAGAGATGGGTCACCCCTGATTAAGCGTTGGCTGCTGCAGGACCGGCAGGAATCTTTCCGCCCCTCTCCTCCCCCCCTCAAAAGAAACCATGAAAACACATACAACACAACACAGGACTCCTAATTGGGACAGTATGTTCCCCAGCGCCGTCTGGAAACAAAGCGGCCGCTCCTTCCCCGCCAGATCGCCTCCTGCCTCCCCACGCTGGCCCTGCTCCCGGCTGCCTCTGAGGGGAACCCGGAGGACTCAGAGAGGCGCCCTCTGCCCCCTCCCAGGCGAATTCCCCGGGGAGGTGAGAGATTCTGCCCGCTGGAGGGGAACAGCTGGGCTGTGACCCTGTGCCCCAGGTCCTCTGCCCTCAGGACTCTGTCACTGTCACTGTCACTCCCATTGTTCATTGATTTGCTCTAGCGGGCCCAGTAACATTGTGAGACTTATTGTTACTGTGTTTGGCATATCGAATACATCACAGGGAGCTTGCCAGGCTTTGCCATGTGGGCGGGATACTCTCAGCAGCTTGTCGGGCAGAGGAATCAAACTCAGGTCGGCCAGGTCAGCCGCGTGCAAGGCAAGCGCCCTACCCACTGTGCTATCGCTCCAGCCCATCAGGACCCTACACGGGGTAAAATGGCCATCAGGTCTGGGAACACCCCTACCCACCAGGTAGCCAGGCTGTTTGGCTGGAGGGAGGCAGGGTTTGCCCAGGAGTAGCCCATGCCTGCAAGTAAAAGCAGCCCACAGCTCAGCCAGGTGGTGCCTTCTTTCTCCCTCACCCTTCTCTGAGGCGCACACCCCGCACACTGATACCAGGAGAGTGAAGGCAGGAGTGGTGTCATCAAAGGACCATAAGTCAGCCAATGCCACTGTTGGCGGTCCAAGGGACAGTGGTGGAGCTCTAACTAGAGCCCCAGGTCAAAAGTGTCCACTGCCCCAGGGAAATAAGAGAGCACAGGCGAGAGGTGATAGGAAATCTTCCCCTCCCCTCCCAGCAGACATGGGGTCATTCTCCCCTTGCCTCCCACCAGCTCCTGAAGGTCTTGTCCTCGGCACAAGGAAGATGCACTTCAGAGCTGGCCTTGCCCCACCCCAGCCTGAGGGTAGCAGGTGAGTGTGGGCTCAGACAGGCCTCTGCAGACAGGGGCTGGCCCTGCTTACAAAAGAGCCCCAGGACACAGGCCCCTGGCACGGTCTCCAGCTTCAACACTGTGTCCCGGCTGGCTGTCAGTGGCTTGTGGACTCAAAGATACCCCAGATTCACACAGCAGCCCCACTCCGAATCAGGCCTCTGCATTGCATGCCCTGATCGGAGTTCTGCCTGCCCTACTGGGACCCCAGGCCCTGGCTTCAGCGTGCACCCCGTGTATGACTTCCCAGTCTCATCTTCTCCCCTTCCTTCAGCCCCAGGACACACCCTCCCTTGCCTCCCAGACATGTACGCATCCTGAGAGTCTTCTCCAGAGCAGACTTGTACTAGATGATACTCAAGGGTAGGCCCAATAAGGGAATCGTGCCTTCCTCTGCTTCACCCCTGGGCCGGCCTGCTTGGGCCAACTGAGAGATGAAGTCTGGAGCCTGGTCCCTCCATAGAGCAGCATCACCCCCACTGCTCTACCATGACCTCAGCTCTAATCCTGCATTTTCCTCTTGCTGCGCTTCCTGAAGGCCTCACAAACTGAGCAAGCTGCAGGTTACTGCACCCCTGGCCCCCAAAGACGTTTCCCCATTGGCCATGTGACTTTTCCTGCAGAGCCACAGAATATGGTTCAGAGTGGAGCCTGGGCAGCCCCATCCCACTCCAGGGACCTGTCTCCCCACGCCACCCTCCACCCCACCCCCACTCATGTACAGTCCACAAGGACTGAAGGGGGTACACTTTGTGACTTTAACTGGCTTCCTCAGAGGAGGTACATTCTATGGGACAGACCTTGGCAGTCCTGTGAGAGAAGTTCCCCATCCTGTCTTTCTCTTCTTCTTTTTCCTCCTCCTCCTCCTCCTCCTCCTCCTCCTCCTCCTCCTCCTCCTCCTCTCCCTTCTCTTCTTCCTCCTTCTCTACCCCTCTTCTTCCTTCTTCTCTTCCTCATCTTCCTTCTCCTTCTCTGGGACTCACCAGGCAGAGACCACTGGCCATTGTTACCAGGCTATAGGGACGGAGCCCCTGGCTAGCAACCTGGTACAAACAGGACTGAGGCCCATAGAGGTTGGAACCCCAGGACAAGGCATCTGTTTCTTTGTCATTAAAATCAGAGTGATCCGCTGTGATGGGTGGACATGGAAAATCACATTATACCCCCAAGACAGACATCTTTTGCACTCTTGTAAACCAATGTTAAACTAAAAAAAAAAAAAAAATCAGGGTGATTGGAAACTGCTTAGACCATTTTTGACTTTTCTATCAGTTTGAAATTTTCATATTAAAAAAGTTTTTTAAATGGTAAAGGACATTCAAGATGAGGATTTTGCCTGGGTTTGAAGTTGCAGAGGTATTAGCCTGGAGCCTCTTCGGGGTTCCCCTGAGGACACAGACAGGAAACTGAGGGATACGCATGGAGCAGGGGAGGAGCAAATTTCACTAGTATGGCCCCTGCAGCTCTTTGTTAGGTAGGTCAAAGGAACCCCAAGGTGCACAGTGCTGAGTGAGAGGCTTGCCTGCACCTGCTCCCCACTGCCAGAGGCAGGACCTATTTCCTGTACTCTGACAGTGTCTCATGGGCACCATCCTCCCTCCCTCTCAGCCTTGGATGGTTCCATTCTCCCAAACAGAGGGCCTTCTCCACTTTGCCACTCACATCCTCCCTTCTCTTCCATACCATGTTCCACACCCCTTCTAGAAGTTTCCCCTTTACGTAACCCTGGCCCACATCCATATACACCTTCTAGAAGGTTCTTCTAGAGCCTGTGTCCACACAGCCCTTCTAGAAGGTTCTCCCACCACCCTAGATCATGTCCATATATGCTTTCACAAAGATTCCCCTGCAACCCGGGTCAAGGGGCCTTATCTTCTGCCAGCTCTTAGATAGTCCCGAGGCTGACTGAGGACAGCTGTCCTTCTCTCTCACTTTCCATCCCTGGACTAAGTCCTCCCTAACAAGGAAGCCTGTGTTCCTAGCAGATTGAGGACCCCCCCCAGAGCAAGGTTACTCTCTCCCCCTCATCAGACCTGTGACTCCAGCACTACATCTGTGCCTGCCTCCACCCTCCCTCAGGCTTGCTCACCGGGAAGGCATAGACGAAGATGCACAAGAACAGCAACAGGATGAAGAGGATGATGAAGAGGATGATGGCACACCGGAAGCGCCGCCATAGGATAAACTTCATGGTCTTATACGGTGATGTGAACCAGAGGAAGGAGGTGTCAGGGCGCCTGGAATGAGATACCGGAGATCAGCAAGACCCCTCCTTTGACCCTGGTTGCTTTCTCCAAGCCTGGCCTTCAAATTGCAATGACCCTCCAATGAGCCCCCAGGACCAGCCCTATCTTTAGCTGCCACCCCAGGCCCAATCCGAAACCAGATTCTGTACCCACAACCCCCTCTCCTCCTGTCCTATGCTTCAGTGTTAGCCATTCCCTTCGCCCCCCCCCCCCCCCCCACCGCCATAAGTCTCTCCACAACCAACTCAGCTCTCAGCCTCTTGGCCAGACCATCATCCCTGAGCCCTCCTGGACTTCCCCAATGGCCTGGGGTAGGCTTGCTTATCACCCCCTGTTCCAATCCTGTGAGACAGGCTCTTGGGACTAAATGGAATTTGAGCTGGAAGCCTGGTGGGCAGGGGTGTGGAGAGAGTGTGAACCCTACAAAAGTAACCACCTTCAGTACCCAGGAACCACCTTCTAGATCACTGCTTTTCTATGCATCTCTCAGGGACCTATGTGATAAGGGTGTCAGGGAGAGGCCCCTTCCCTCACAGAACAAGAAAATCAAAGGCTAAGAGGTGGTTTAATACAACTGATGGGGTGCAGCCACTCCCCAACATGGCATGGCCCCCTGGGCCTCCCGAGTGTGGCCTGGGTGGGATCTAAGCAGCACCATGTCACTGGACCCTGCACTAAACTCCCCTGAGTTGGTCAAGTATGGCTAAGAGCAGCCCCCAGACTCACTGAACATGGCTTGGTAGAAGGGTCCCAAAATAAAAATGAAAATGAAGACAGGAGGATAAAATAGAACTGACAGCACAGGCGAGCCAGGGAAAGCAGCTTGGTCAAGGACAGACCCTGGCAGGACACCAGAGCCAGGCAGACCATGCTGTGAGACTTGCAGCATCTTCTATGAAACCAACTCATTTCACCTCCAAGGCTGTCTTGTCTATGAGGCTGGAAGGTTCCTGTAAACCCACATGCCACAGGACAGCATGCCTAGAACACAGTGCCCAGCTCCCTGACCGCGCCTGCTTCTGAAATTGCCCAAGGAGTCACAGCACAGGAACAGGTCTGTCGCCTGCCTCACTTGCCTCATGGCTTTGGAGCCAAGTGAATCTTACGTGGCAAGGCAGTGGGGTGTTCCCGGACTATGGCTAGAAACACTCCCCTCCCCCGACCTTCTGGCTCAGCAGTCAGAAGTAGCACTGACCTGGGGTCTTCAAGTTTGGGGTTCATGTTGGGTTCATCCCGGCCCTGGCCGGCGGGCCGCTCTTCATGCTCACCCTCAGCAACTATCTCCAAGGTCATCTCCAGCTTGCCCTGTGAGGACAGAGAAAGGCTCATTCCTGTGACTGAGAGAGGGGCCAGGCCAGGCCAGGCCAGTCACCGATGATCCTGCCGAAAAAGACACAGGGTTGATCCAAGCCTAAAACAGTACTTGCTCCCTGCAGAATCCTTAGCAGTGTCGGAAATGCATAAAGGAACGAGGCTGGCAGCTGTGCCCACACTGTGGACACAAGTGCTGTGGGTCTGTTTGTGCCTTGGGTTCTCTGCAGGTATGTGGGCCACCACATGGTCCACATGGTGCAGACAGTGTGGTAGCTTGCTGCTTCCACTTTGGAAGATACTTTCTTCTGCTATATAATTACGGATTGTCCAGAGTTTGCTTTTAATAGCTATAGAACATTCGGTGGGGTGGTTGACCATAATGATTTTAGTTAACTGCTTGTTTGGGTTCATTAAGATGGTTTCCAACTCTTTGATATTATAAATAATGCCGTAACCAATAAACACCCAGAGCCAAACATTTTGATTTTGGTTTGTCTTTGGAAGAGAGTTGAGAAGCAGACTGACAGGGTCCATGGATACATATATCTTTACATTTCTTGCTACACCATCCAAAATAGTTTTCTCAACCCCTTTCAGTTCTCCCCACAGAAATAAATAAGGGGGCTGTCTCTCTCTGCTCTCCGCAGCAGCGAACATTTTCATTAGTTTATTTGTTTTGGGTTGGAGGCCACACCCCTGCTGTGCTTAGGAATTACTCCTGGCTCTGTGCTCAAGGATCACTCCTGGTGGGGTTCAGGAGACCATATAGGATTCTGGGTATGCAGGTATGCATGCAGATCAGCTGCGTGTGAGGCAAGAACTTTACCCACTATAATACCCCTCTGACCCCCTTAATTTTTGTTCTAAATCAATAGACTAAGTTATTTTCTCAGTATGTAGCGTGTCATTATCTAATTACTAGGATGAAGAGACCTTATTTCATGTTTATTGGCAATTTTGACTTGATTGGTGTATTACCTATACATGCCTTCTGCTCCTTTTTCTTTTGAGGTATTGCAGTTTCGTATGAATTGTTGCCATTCTTAGACAACGACGGCATTTTATTCCAAGGGCCACTTACAGGGTTGGCTAGCTGCCTACAGTTCCTAAGTAAACTGTCAAGGATTCATCCACTTCCTCCATCAGAAGAGTTCTTTCCAGGTTCAGGCATAGTCCCTGTCCCAGCTAGTCACAACTGTCCCTTGACATGTTTGTTCAGATGGAGGAGGCATGATCCAGGGCCCCATAGAAAACCCACAGAAAATCCAGGAAGAAGGGGAATCCAGGACACAAGTCTCTGCAATGCCAGGGTGTAGAGTACAAATGGGCCCCAGAGATGAGATAAGGCATCTTCCCACTTAATATGCAGATGCCAGTCTCACACTTGGATAAACGATAAACACCAACTGAGGCAGTGGCTGCATCAACATGCTCAATAGGTGTTTCCGGGATCCATGCCCCAGAGAGAGGAAGGCCGGGCAGAAGGGTACTGGAAGGGAAGCAGGAGGTTGGAAAGCAGGGGAAATGTGTGTGCCCCAGGATGTTTAGGAAATGCCGCTAGGCTAGAGCGAGCAGACTCACCGCCAGGATCTTCTTCTCACCCTCCTCGGCCACACAGGGCCACCAGCCCTTCACAGTTTTCTGCTCAAAAAGGGACACAAACCACTCAGGGTGGAAAATGTCATCCAGCTGGTCCAAGGAGCACTTTTCGGCTGTCTTGGCTGGCTTGGGCATGCGGTTGAGATCCAGCTGCAAGGAGCCTGTGGCAGAGAAGGCTTCTTGGTGGAGAGTCTTTCCACTACAGGCAACCGAGGGCTACCCAGGGACAGAGCATGTTCAATAACTGTCACCTCAACTTCTACCCCAAAACTAAGTCATGGGACATACCTGCACACCTCCTCACCCCACCCACTGCCTCCTATTTCATCCACAGAGTGTCCCACACACCTCATGCCTCCCACAGGCCCAGAATCCACCACACCCCTCAGAACAGCTTTCCACTTGCTCACCTATTCCTCTTTCTATGTACAAACCCAACCATTCACCCATTGTCTTCATTCCTCTATGTAAGGTAAAGGTAAAGGCCCTCCCGTTGATCGTCGATTTGCTCGAGCGGGCCCAGTAACGTCTCCATTGGAGACTTTGTTGTTACTGTGTCTGGCATATCGAATACTCTCGGTAGCTTGCCGGGCTCTCCGAGAGGGGCGGAGGAATCGAACTCGGGTCGGCCATGTTGGCCGCATGTAAGGCGAACGCCCTACCCGCTGTGCTATCGCTCCAGCCCATTCCTCTATGTAAGTATATATATATATATGTATTTCTATATATACATATATAGATATATGTGTTATATACATATATATACACATATGTGTATATATATAATGTGGCAAAATATTTAAAACATACATATTCTCTGAATCACTTTCAAGTGTAACTCAGCGATATTCAGTGCATTTACATGATAGTAGACCATCACCAGGACTTACTCCCAAAGTCTTTTCGGGGAGTCCCAAACAGAATTTGCATTCCTCTAGGCAGTAACTCCATCTTCCTCCTCCTCCTCCTCCTCCTCCGCCTCCTCCTCCTCCTCCTCCTCCTTTCTCTCCATGAACCTCTAATTTACTTTTTGCATCTACAGATTTACCTATTCTAGGACTTCATAGAAGCAGAAACAAACAGTATTTGTACTTTTGTATCTGGCTTATATCACTTAGCAAAATGTTCTCAAGGCTTATTTCTATCCTAGTGAAAATCAGTACTTCGTTTATTTCTCAGGCTGAATTATTCTCCGTGGTATGTAAAGCCCACATTTTGTTTATTCATTGATCTGCTGATGAACATGGTTTTTTCACCTTCTGAGTGTTGTGGATAATGCTGCAATGAACACTGTCATGCAATTTCAAGTTTTCAGTCCTTTTGTCTATAGACCAAAGGGGAGAACTGTAAGTCAGAGGGTGATTCTATGTTTAGTTTTCTGAGGAAAAGCCAAACTGCTTCCCACAGTTGCTGCACCATTTCACATTCACCCCAGTAATGCATGAGAGGTTCCAATTTCTCCACATCCTCTCCAAGACTGGTAATGCTCTAATGCCAAGGCTGTTCTTTTTTGTTGTTGGTTGATTGGTTGTTTAATGGTCATCCTAGGAGATGTAAAGTAGTCTCTTCTTATGGCTCATCCCCCCATTTTCTCATTTGCCCAATTAGTTATCCAAAGAGCCATCTTTCAGTACCGTTTCATCTACTCTCATTGTATCCATTACTATTCAGCATAATTCTAACCATTAGGACGAACCATATAAAAATCCTGATAGTCAATGATCTTTGACCTATTAAAACAGCATTTTCATGTGGTTTTACTTAATCCAATCACAACAACACAAGGAGTTGGCTTGAAGCATTAAGGAAAAGGGATTAAGGGAGAGATACGAATCTAAAAGATTTTTTTCTGCCACCAAATTAAAGAAGTTGTTAAATACCATGCAAAGGAGACTGGATTTATTGTTTTCTGTTTAGTGTAGATGACTCCTTTACAAATGTCTACTGATTGGATCTACTTTTCTAGCTTCCTTTCCATTCATCCACTTAGCCTTCCCTCTGCTTTGAGTGAACTATCTATATTCCTCCATAGTACCATTTGCTGAGTGATTAATCAGGTTATAATTTCATCTACATTTGTCCAACATCCTATGTCAGCAATTCATCTTTCTCTGCCCACAAGTCTTTCCATCCTTCAAGTGTAAACTGTTTCTTATTTTAACTATGGTGTCCCAACACAATATCAAGAAAATTGGAGGTGCACACACATACACACACACACTCACACACACACACACACTTGTTTCAACATGATTGATCTGTATTTAAAAAACTATAAGAAAACGGGATTATCTGAATTATAAGATTTTAAATCTTAATTATTATTTGTAAACAAAAGTAGTACATAATAAAAAGAAATAAAACATGTCTTTAAAAAATACACTATGAAGGAGAAAAATTTCATGGAACTAAAAAATAGTATTTTCAGTAATTTATTTTCTTATTGAAAGATATGTCTATTTACTTTTAATAGGTTTTCTAATTTGGTAAAAATATAGTAAAATTTCCTTTGCTTTAAAAAAAATAATTTTATAAATCCTTGCCCCTAGAGAAAATATTTATAGATTGATGAAAAAAATTTTAATTGGTAAGCAAAAAAGAATTCATAAAAATTTAAAAAGCAGCTGAAATAAATGGAAGATATTATTTGAAATGTATCTTTACTACATAAAAGCTCTGAAGATCAATAATGAAAGGTGAATTTTCTGAAAGGATTTAAAAATTCCAATTGCAACTAGGACAAAATGATATTTTCAAGAAGAAGTGCAAATAAAAATAAAGGGAGGCATCATGCAATATTTTTAAAAAGGTAACACAAGTAACAAAAGTAGGAAAATGGTCCTATAAAAAGGCACAGGTGGGAATATAGAAATGTAAGACCTTTCTAGAGAGGAATTGAACAAAATGCTTCTAAAACCACTAAAACATATAAAGGGCCTAAACATCTGCTTCTCAGACTTCAGGAAAGTTACACAAAAGGCTCCCAGGACCTGTCCTGGCTGCCCCTTCCACAGAGCAGAAAGGAACCTACAACTACACTCCTCACTCCCTGGAGCAACCTTCCTGGAAAGATCACTTTCTCAGTGGGATAAAAATCCATGTGAACATAAATCCCCCAAGCACACAAGTCAGTGACTTTTAGTCCATTCACACAGCCGAGAGAGCAGTCCCACCCTCTGATCCCTAAAGAAAACCCATCAGTGCTGCTACTGCTGCTGCTGCTAATGACAGGGTACATTTCTCTGTATGACGGTACGTGACAATGCACAATGATACAGACTATGCTAACGATACACGATGACAAGTGATAAAACATGATGGCACATGATGATGTATGATGATACACAATGGTGCAATATGGTGTGTGGTGCGTGATATGTGATGGTGCATGATGTGTGATGATACCCGATGACACAAGATGGTATATGATAATGCATGATGATACATGATGTGTGATATACACGATGAAGGATGATGGTATATGATAATGCATGGAGATATGTGATGGTGCATGATGTGTGATGATACATGATGAAACAGGATGGTATATGATAATGCATGGTGATACATGATGGTGCATGATGTGTATTGATACATGATGGCACATGATGAAACAAGGTGGTACATGAAGATGCATGATGATAAAGGATGGTACATGATACGATGGCCAATTTTCCTAGTCAGGAGTTCGTGGCCTTCCCTGAGACGTGCCTTCTCAGAGCATCTCATACACATGGAACCATAGGACCCATGTCCTCTTGTATCTGGCTTCTTTGCCTCAGCACCCTCCATGCATCGCAGGTAACAGTGCTTTGCTTTTCCTATGTTTCCCCCCCTCTTTCACAGACTGTGAACCCGTCCTTCAGCTCATCCCTCACCCTGCTTTCTGCCCCAAGAAAGCCTTTCCCCACCCAGTCCTGGACTGCAGCCCTCCCAGCCCCAGCTTCCAACACTCCTCCCGACCCAGAAACTCTTCTGGCTGTTGGGGGTGCAGGCTTGTTTATTCTTCACAGGAGTCACTCAGACACGAAGACAAAGAGTGACTTGGGTCCCTCACTGGCTGGCCTCAATCATATTCTAAGGGGACAGCAGGCATCCTATCTGGAGTGAAGCATATAGCCAGAACCACCAGTGCCACACCCATGCTTGGCTCTACCCAGCTGAGACTCCGCATTCACACAACCATCACTGATAAACGCTCCCCGCAACCACTACGGTGTCTCTATTGCTGGGGTCCCCTTTCTGTTGCCCTGAGGGTGGGAAGGAAGCACACAGTGGGGGTCTTGGGGCCATCTTTCCACCAAGTGCAAAAGCAAAGATCAGAAGAGGGGCTCACCCAGAAAGTCGTCAAAGGAGAACTTGTCGTTGTCCCAGATCTGGAACACCACACGCGCTGGGATTTTGCTCTCTGTTTTGTCCAGCCTCCAGAAAGCATCCTGGCCCCCGGGGAAGAAGCAGGAAAGTGAAATCAGAGAGAGGCAATGTCCCTGACAGGTGGAAGAGGCAGTAGGGTGGTACACCCCTGAGGGCTTTGCCACTCCTCCTGTGTGGGAAGATACTAAGACCCCAGAGGGCAGTGATCAAGGGCCCAGGAGGGGCAGCGGATAGCTGGCTTCACTGAAGATGGCCCCTGTGATGTTCCCAATTCTGGGACCAGGGGGTCTTATTCCCTCTCTACAGATGGCAAAAAGAGACTTGGCAAAATTGAAAATGTTCCTCGGGGCCAGAGATAGAACAGTGGGTAGGGACCATGCCTTGCATGCAGCCAACTTGGGTTCATCCTGTCACTCAGTAAGGCCCTCTGAGCTCCACTAAGAATGATTTCTAAGAAGAGAGGTGGGAGTAAGCTTAGAGCACCTCTGGGTGTGGCCCTAACCCCCTTCCCCACAATATGTTCCTAAGATCTGACAGCGATTAATAATATAGATGCTCAAAAAGAGAGAGAGAACAAAAGGGAATGCCCTGCCACAGAGGCAGGGTGGGACAGGGCGGGATAGGGGGTGGGAGGGATACTGGGATCCGTGGTGGTGGAAAATGGGCACTGGTGGACGGATGGGTACTTGATCATTGTATAATTGAAACCTAAGCACAAAAATTTGTAAGTCTACAACTGTACTTCATGGTGTTTCACTAATAATAATAATAATAATAATAATATGGATGCTGTACTTTTATACCACTATCAAAGTATCCTATACCACTCTGAGCCATACATCCTCCAGATGCAGGCCTAAGGGAGTCTCTTTCTATGCAGAGGAGGAAACCAGAGACAGGACTGTGGGTAGATCACAGAACCCTGGAGGCAGGCTCAGAACCCGGCTCTCTCCTCTAGACCCCTGAACCCTGCACATGGGGAGGCTCGTGGGGATCCTGGGGTCCCTGCCCACCCTGAAGCATCTCACCAGATGGGACAGGCAGCATCGGCTCTAAGCCCCATACACTCTCCCTGCCTCTGAGAGGCTGCCCAGTGCACATCAGGAGCCGCAGGCCCAGGGATGGGCAGCCGGACCTGCTCCCTGGATGTGCCACGCAGGCTCCCAGAGGGATGGTGTAGGGGCAGCCCCAATAACCAAGGGACAGCCACCCGCTTTCCACTCCTGCCTAGTTTCTGTCCTCTCTTGGTGGCCTCTCTTGCATGGGGACTAGAGGGGTGAGGGGGGGAAAGGGCAGGAGAAGGAAACTCCTGTCCTGTCATTGTGTGGGATACCAATGGTGGGGTCAGGCCCATGGGGGAGTCCTGCTTGGTGTGTGCACACGTCTATGTACCAGGGCCACCCCAGGTCACAAAGATGCCGCCTCCCTCACCCCAGCCCGAGTTCCCGAACCAAAGGCCAGAGTGGTCAGTGTCCCATGAGGCATAGTCCACCCGCGACACACCAGCCCAGCCTCCAAGGGGTGGCTGAAGGGGCTGGAGGCCCCGCCCCGTCTGCCACCCCCCTCCAGGCCCCAGCTCTCCTGCAGGTGCCTCCTCGTTGTCGTCGTCGGTGGGGCTTTTATGGCCGGTTCCCCCTGGCCGCCAGGCTGCCAGCCTCCACTGCTCTACCGGCCGCTGGGTTTATGGGCTCAGTAATGAGCCAGAGGTTCAAACGGCCCCTGGTGGGAGCAGCTGGGCCGGGGCTGCAGCCTGGGGAATGGCCCCCCAGGTCCCAGGCCCTCATTACGCTCCTGGTCTGGGCCCTTTTACTAGCTGTTTATTTGCAGGGTGGGTGCCCGACGCGCACGCAGGCCCCGTGGGTGTGCTGGGCTCCAGGTGGGGAGCCGGCCGGCAACCCGCGGTGGTTCAAAGCGGTGGGATGAAAGGAGACCTTGTGCTTTATGACAGTCTCGTCTGGTTAATGGGGTCCCGGTGGGCCCGCCTGCCCGCCTGCCAGAGGCCCTGAGACTCTTGGCTGGGGGCTGGCTCTGTTGAGGCCCAGAGAAGCCCAAAGGCTATGGGGATGCCTCCCCTCCCCCAACCCCCCACTCGGTCCTTTAGCCCAGATAGCACCCTAACCCTGGGCAACACTCCACCTTCTGTACCTTCTCTCAGAGAGCACCCCCTATCCAGCCTGGGTCAGGCCAGTCCCCTCCTCCCCCCAACCCCCGACGCTTAACTGCAGCCCAGTTCGCCTGTGTCCTCACCTCCCCTGCTGAAGCATGTCGGTGCTCTTCCCTTCTGCCCTCTGTCCCAGCAGGTTCACCCACAGTCTCCTTGTTCTGAGATCTATTTCTCCCCACGGTCAATTCAAGTCTCTCCTTGGAGCCACCCTTCAAATTGACCTCAATTTCTCAGCCCGCAACCCCAGCTAGGGCACTCAGCATCTACTGTATTTTAACTCACTTCCTACTTGCAGCCTTTTTCAACTGTTTCTCATCACCTGCTACAGGGCCAGGAAATTCACTCCTCCGACATGGTAGAAAATTCTAGAAACTTTAGCTCCCTACTATTCTTTTCCCTTGTCTCCACCTGTTGCAATGCTGGGGTGCCCTGCCTCCTGTTTGAAGAGGTCAATCCCCACCTCTAACCCTTGTTTTTCCCATTCAGACCTTCTCCTAGTGGGGGAATGGGGCATTGAGTAAACCCCCAAGATGGAATTAGGTTTCTCTGACCCTCACTTCCCCTCCTCGGGCCCACACCCTCCCGGGGCCCACAGCAGAGAGGCAGCATCTATCTGATTTGGAGCGCTTCCCAACAAATGCAGTGTCTCCTTTGCTCTGGAAACATCTTGCAGTGCACAAACCTGCTGAGCAAAAGCCAACAAGATAAGCACCCACAGCGCAGGCTCTCCCTGACTGCTCAGGACTGGGGGCTGCTGCTAAACCCTGTCTCTGGCAGGATCCAGGCTGCATTCCTGGGTGAAGAGATGCACTTCGTCTAGTTTAAGCCATATTTGCCTTTGTCTGATGTTTTCAGGGTGTTCTATGGAACTTTCTGATTTCTCTAAAGGTTAGCCAATCCTAAAGGGACTGGGGAAAGGGTCCTGTAGAAATGCCATGAAGAGAATAAGAAGACTAGGAGATAAAAGACAATGCCCATGTAGGAAAGATGGGGGAATTCTATAAGTTTTACGGTGAACTCCCTAAAAGCGGAACTTAGACCAACACCTCACAATGAAAACTCGTTCTAGGTGGAATGCAGGTCACCAAAAACTCCAAAGAGGTTCCCTCACATCCTATGGGCTACATCACCTTCTCTCTTTATGTTCTGGGGCGGGTTCCTAAGGACAGGGTGGAACCATCATGGAGGAAGATTTGGCTCTGGGTTCTGCCCATCTCAGGAATCAGGAGTTTAGGACCCAGATGAGAACAAAGCCAGCAAGTAGTGAGGTACAGAGGGCCCTCATGTCCCTGACCCATGAATGATGCACCAGGTTCCCAGGGCCTGCAACCCATAGAATGAGGAGCGCTGGAGAGAGAAGAGCCCACTCGCACTCCCAGGCTGAGAAGCACTGAACACAGTGTGAGAAACAGGGTGAGGGGAGAACTGGGGTCAGCAGCACCAACCCACAAAGCCCAAACCGAAGCTCTCCCGATGGGGACCACCCTCCATCCCTCCGATGGTCAGACTGGGTTTCCCTCCCAGTCTCCTCTGGGATGCAGGGGCACAGGGAGTTGGTGAGAGCCACAAGTGGCTTCTGTGTAGCACTGTGAGACTGAGAGATGCTGGTAGGCTGGTGGCGAGGCTGGTAAGGATGGAGTGGAAGGAGCAGCAGAGTAGTGGTACTTGATAGTGGTACTGCCAAGATGGGGCAATGGTGACAGGAGCTCTGACAGAGGTGGGTGTCAATGTGGTGATACTGGCAGTGATGGAGACAATGATGGTGGCAGTACCAAGAGTGACGCTGACAAGGATGGGGACATTGGCATGGTGATGGGGACAACAGAGATAGCCATGGACAGTCGTGGCAGTCATCGTTCTAACAGTGAGAGGGCAGCATGTTAGAATGCTCTGGGGACAGGGAGGGCACTCACCTTCTTGGAGACAGTACACACTTGCTCAGCTGGCAGGTAGTCGAAGGGGAAAATGAACCTCCAGTTAAAGTTGCCTTCCCCGCCCAGAGACCGGTAATGCACATCCGTCTTTTGCTTGTGCTCTTCAAATCCAACCATCCAACTAGGCACACACAGTTTAGAGAACATTTCGAATTATGGTTTCCACCACAATGTGCACCCTCCAGCTAATCAAGTGAGCAATTAAGAAGATATATTAATTTGGTAAATGATACAGCAAAGAGACACCCTCCCCCCCCCAAACTCAGCATGATGTACCAAATGTGCCCTGAACTTGGGACTTACTGACTTTTCTCGAGGGCCCCCTTAGCCTTGTAAGAGCAACGGGAAAATGTGCAGAAGAAACCCGGGGGGGGGGGGGGCGGGGGAACAAACCACCTCTCTACCTCTCTGCAGCAGAGACGGTGTTGCTCACACCGCCCTTCCTTCCCTGTTCCCCACTTCTCTCCCCAGAGGGGCAGGCGGGAGGGCGGGGCCTACCCCTTAACATAGATGTCACTCATCTTCTCCCCCGTGATGCTCAGGTCGTCCAGGATCACGTCCTTGGTGTTCCAGATTATACAGCGCAGGAAAAACCTGTGCAAGAGACAACTTCCTTACCGGAGAAGCCAACTCTCGTCCAAGGAGACTTGGATGCCAGCCTGGCCAACCCACACAGGAGCAAATGCCCTGAGCTCCACCAGATCCAAAACCTGACCCGATGGGAACTTTTGGCCCCACCGCCCGCCCTCACCCCCCACCCCACATGCACTGAGCTTGCAGCTGGGCTAAGTCACCTTTTGGCTCTCCTTGGGGTGATGTTGAAGGGAGGTCCAGGCCGTCCTAGGGCCTTTGGAAACAGGTCAATCCACATTTGCAGCTTCCCCTGGGGAGACAGGACCCCGAGCTCTCAGCAACCGTTCCGAGCAACCCCCAGTGAGCATTTGCTCTGGGCCAGACACTGGGCACGAGGAGCAGCTCTACACAGGGTGCCCGCTGGCCCACAGGACCTGGAGCCCTGCCTGGGAATCAGGGATGCCAGCGGTGATCAGAGCTGAGTCTGGATGAACCAGATGCCAAAGGAGAGAATGGCACAGAGGCCAAGAGAATGGCACAGTCAAGATGGGACGATTAGAGAGCACATGTCCAAAGGGGAACTCTGAGGATTGCCCGCTCCTCGCCACCTCTCAGCTGCCACACTCTGGCCGGCTGGGAGGGATCTGGGTTTCCAGAAGGAACAGGGTTAAATCATCTCTGCAGGGCCTCTGAACTCAGGGTGATGTTCGTCACCTGCTGTGCCTCCTGGGGTCCTGGGAGCCATACCCAGAGGGGAAAGCAGCAGTGTCCTCTGCACATCCACCAAAGCAGCGCCTAACACTCTCCTCCTCCCCCTTCTCCAAACCCAGGACTTTAAGTCTTAAAAATCCCACACACTAACTGGGAATACCATTAGGTATTTCCAGGGGAAAAGAAAAAGCAAAGGAGCCAGACTGCACAGGCCCCTCTGTAGGATGCTGCCCTGTGCTCTGCCGCTCCTGGATTCTCCCTCCTGCCACAGGTGCCCTGGGCCCTGAGGGCCACTCTCTGGGGCTGCTCTGTCCTCCTGTCAGTGGGTGCTGGCCGCCCTCTGCAGCCCAACACAGACAGGCCATCTGGGATGTCACTGACCAGGAAAGGCATCTGGTGGCAAAGCAGAAAAGTGAGGATTCAGGATTCCTTCAGGCACTATCCACCAGGACCAGGGGAAACTGAGGCTCGCTTCCCAGGCTCCAGGGGGTGAGGGCGCAGGGAGCCAGGATGGGGTCAGGCCTGAGAAGCTCCCCATAAGGCATCAGTAGGAGCCACCGTGAAGAAAAGATCAGCCAATGTGCATGCCTCTGGAATGTCTGTGCCGTCCTCGTAGGAGGGGAATCATGGGGTCCTCGCTGGGGCTCGGGGCCTGAGGAAGCTGGGGGTCATGGCCTACCTGTTCGATGTCCGGCTGCAGGGGGCTGTAGAGGGGCCGCGACTCTACGTGCTCAGGAACCAGCCCCTGCTGTTGCAGCACGTGCAGGGCGAGGCGCTCCTCCACGGGGCCCAGGTGGGGGTTGGGGGCCCTGCCAGCCTCTGCCCAGGAACGACAAAACAGTCAGGGCTGAGTGCACAAAACAGCCAAACACTGTCAGGGGCCCCAGAAGACCCCACACCTCAGCCTCAGCTGCATCCCAAACCACGAATAGGGACAGCTTCCTTGTGCCGGGACACTAGGCTTCGAATCCAAGTCCTCCTTGCATCATTTTGACCAAATCTCTTCTGGGAAGCTCTTCCTCTTTCCCACGCATGCTCCCTGCCTGCCCACCTCCTCCAGGAAGTCTTATGTGACCTGCTGCCAGCCCTTGCATCTGTTTACCTCGGACCCATATGAGCTGTCCTAGTAGTGGCCGAAAGAGCAGCAATGACAACTAAGAGTAGGCAGAAATCGTCCCAGGTGTGGCTTTTCAGAGATGTGAGTAGGTTTTGTTTCCACAACCATAAGACCATTTTTCACAGGACACAAGCAGGTTCCAGAGCAGTTATGGACCTTGTGGGACAGCTAAGGTCACATCCCCCTCAGGAAAGACATGTGTCCCTTCCCACCTTGTCCTTCCTAGGTTCAGCTCATTTCCCCCAAAGTGGGTGCAGAGAAGGACTAGAGCTGTGGATAGTGTGAGGCCAAGGACACGGTTCTGTCATGGCACTACAGAAACTGAGCAGGAGACTCCCATGGCAGAGCTCAGTGGGAGGGCCCACATGTGTCTACACATATGGACAAACACAGGGACACACACCAGTGTGGGCCCACATTCACCGACAGATTCTTACACACACACACACACACACACACACACACACACACACACACAGTGCCAGCTTCAACAGGAGGCACAAAGGAGGCAGCCTGACACTACAGAATGCCAGGCTGCTTCAGACAAGCAGGGTAACACCAGGCAGGTCAACCACACTGGCCTCAACAACCCCCAAATAGATAGATGTGGGACTCTCCACCTCTCCTCTTCTATGACCATGAGCTCAAGCCTGTCTTAAAGAAGCTCACGGATGAGCAGAGGGATGAGGGCATCTGGAACAGGGGCTGGAGCATGGAAGGCCCAGAAGAGTGGGGCCAGCTGGCCATGTCGGACTCAGCCGTGGGCTAAAGGAAGGGCAACAGGATTGGGGGTGGTGGGTCAGAGTCATCTTCTCCTCTTCCCATCCCAAAAGCTCAGCACCCACTGACGCCCACAGCTCTGAGATTGCAGGAGGCTGGAGCCATTGGCTGGCCAAGCCCTTCCAGGGGTCTGAGTGGCTCCTGGAGGCCGGGGGAGTGGAGCAGGTTCATGGCATCACACACATGGTTGCAGACACAGGGTAGATGCACAGGCATGAGCAGCAGATGACACGGTTTTCCTGGTGCCCTTTCCATGATTTGGGGGCAGAGCTGGGCCAGGAAGTTGGGGTGGGAGGCACAGGGTTCCAAGTGACCATCACGGTCAAGCTGTATGCTAGTGTAACTTGAGCAGAAAGTTCTTTCTCGGGGCTGGACTGCACCCCAAACTCCAACCATAGTCTAAGAGCCCATGCAGAGGCACACGGACCCCAGCCATGACCGGTCCTGCCTCACACTCAGCATCCTGGTGTCCTCCCCACTCTGGCTGAGTCCCCACCTGCCAGGTCCTCAGACCCGGACCCTGCCCCACTTTGACTTCTACTGTCATAACATCATCACAGGTAAGATCACAGGTCCTCAAAGTGCCGAGCACAAGTCTTACCCCTCCCTGCCACTGCCCTAGGGAGATGCCCCCCCCAGGCCCCTCCCAGGCCCCTCCCCATGCAGGGTCTGTCCAGCCCAGCATGAGAATCTGGTGGAGGAGGTAAGGCCTCAGGCTGCTCACCAATGTCCCCAATCGTGTACTCTTTATCCTGAAACACCACGCAGTCAGGCTTGTACAGGGGGGCCTTGAGGCGCCGCTGTTGGCACAGGAGATGCAGGAGCTGTGATGGCCGCAGCTGGTCTCGCCACTGGTTGGGTCCAGAGCTGAGGCCCAAACATAAGAGCAAGATGGACTTCCTCAGAGCACAGCCAAGGGCAGGGGCACGTGGTACCCTGCAGATTACCCGCACCCCACCCCACCCCCCTACCACCACCACTTTCACCAGGCACATGATCACACATCAGGATAGAGATCACCATATTACAGGAGGACAAGCTGAGGCTGGGGACAACAAGGTGTGGTTAAACAGACACTGAAATGAAACCCAGAAGCTCCCAAATTCCAGAGACAGACTTGGGGCCAAGATATAGACCAGTGGCTGGCATGCACCCTAACAACTGTGATGAGAGAGAGAGAGAGAGAGAGAGAGAGAGGAAAACTGCCTGCCATAGAGGCAGACTGGGGAGGGGGAGGGGAATGGGAGGGAACCTGGGGACATAAACAGCTTTGTCAGGGTTATCTCACAATGATTCAATTTTTTAAAATAAAATAATAATAATAATAATAATAACTAACTGAAATTCAATTCTCAACACCACCTGGTCCCCTGAGCATTCCCGGTTGTAGCCCTGGAGATCGCCCTATAATGCTGGGATTACTCCGTAATCCCTGGCAGCATTGCATTCTCAGACCTCATGCTGAAGCGCTGGCTTCTTGGCTCAGACACCAGTGGAGCCCCCGGGGGCTTTCGGAGCCCCACATGGGAAGCCACTCCCCACCCCCAACCCCAAAAGTCAGACTCCAGCCAGACTGAAAGCTGTCAGGAAAGGGGATGGGAAGGGCCTTCTTCAGGTGAGTTCTGCTGACACAGAATCATGTGAGTCCCCAAGGGTCCAGTTGGTCAAGGGTCCCCCCACACGGTCTCCCAGCTTCACCCCACCTTCCTTCACCTTCCCTCTCAGGCTCTTGGTAAAACCCTAAAGTAAACTAGATAAAAAGAGCCTCAGAACTGCCATTTCGATCCCACCCCTTGCCAGCCATCACCTCTCTGGGTCTCACTTTCCCGATCTGTTGAGTAGGGACAAGCCCTCACACAGGCTGAGAGAACAGCTATGAAGTAAGGCCAGACCAACCCCATGAAGCAAGGGGGGATGGTGAGAGAAGCAGCCGTCCTGTGCACCTACACACAGTAGGTCTGCGGGAGTCCACAGCGAGCCCCAAACTTGGACAGCAGCCTGTTCTCTAGGTCAATGAGCGTCTCCCCAATCTTCTCATCCTTGGAGAGGAGGTCATAGTCGTAGAGGGCGATCTTCAGGTCCTTCTCCAGAGGCAGCGTGCAGGTAAGCTCGAACATCCTGCGGGGCAAGGGGCACCCCTGGTATCAGCACTGCCCACATGGGTCGGGAGCATGCAGGGGCTGGAGGGCTGGAGGGCAGGAGCAGAGGCTTGAAGGACATCTGTCTCCCTGCAAGCCTGCTGTCCACCCTGCTGTGTCTCCTGTAGCACTGAGAGCTGTTCTGTGACCTCTGTGTGTGTGTGTGCGTGCTCAAACATGTGTGTGCATGTGTTCATGTAAGCATGTGTGTCTGTGTGTCTGTGTATATGTGAGAGACAAAGAGACAAAGAAGTTTCCCCAAATCTCTGCTAAGCAGCCACCTGACTTATGGAAACTGAAAACTGCACTTTCCACCAGAACACCGGGGGAAAAGCCACGTCAAACTCCAGAACCAGCGTGTGGCCTGGCACCCGCTTTGGGGATTCCTAGGACATGACACCTACTTCTGAGTGTGATGGGAAGATCTTTGAGCGATTCCTTAGGGACCACTCTGTTCATGCTCTGAGCCCCAACACAGACCCCGCATAAGGTCCTACGTGCAGGTGTTGCCTGTCTCCCTGAAACGATGTCCTGCAGCGGGGTGCCACAAGCCTGGCCCCCAGCTCCTGTTCCTGCACAGGGGGCTCTGACCCTCGTTTTCCTGGTGCTGCAATTTCAGGAAGTAGTTTCCTAGCCCGGGTCCGTGACCTTTTATCCAGCCACACTGCACAAGTGTAGTCCAATGAAAGGGAATGACGCCAATATAATGGGAGGTTCTGAACCAGTAAAAGAACATGACTGGGGAAAATCACCGAACCCTAATAAATGCTCAAGTTTCCTTTAAAAGCAATGCAGCAGTGTCTCTTTCTTTGTTCTGACAAATGTACCATAAGCACACCATGGTGGGGCAACTGAGTAAAGTGATATGAACAGCAAGTCCTCAAATAACGCAACTTTCTTCAAAGGCATTTGTTCTACTGTTTTTTTGTTCAAGTTTTTTTGTTCAAGTGTTCCAAAGTAAGATAAAAGAGAAATGAGCAAATTTCGTTCTGGGTTTCCATTTAAATTTCTGATCTTAAAGACCACTAAGGTGTCAGGACTCAAACTTTTGGTGCATGAGGAGGAGAAAGTTGAAATGACATCTACATAGAAAGCTAAAATTTAGTGTCCCCTCCCCCCGCCCCTCACCCCAATCCCTGTTCCCAGAACTGGAAGCACATCACCCCCACAGGGTTGAGGGTTATCCACACTGGCACCTCAAACTCACCCTATGTGGCCCCCAACTTACTTCCCAAATTCAGGCTCCAGCGTACAGGGGATGTAGTTGTCCTGGTCACTCACTGTCTTCTTCCCAATGGAGATCTTGATGTAAGGGTCACACTGCAGCAGAGGAAAAGAGCACGAAGTGAAATGCTTTCCCGACATACCTGGGCCTCTGCCCCAGTGGCCATCTGGGAGATTCTGTCCTGTGTCCTGCCCAGCATACCACCCTTGGACCTCCCAGCTGGAGAGAAGGGCATCCAGAGCCCTCCAGAACCCTGATTCACTGCCCCCCACCCATCCCCGGGAGAAGGCAGGAGGAAGCCAGACTCATGGCCTCAGAAACTCAAGCTTGCCTCATACATGTGAGGAAGCCACACTGAGCTTCCCTCTGGACCCTCAAATCTAACCAGCAGGGAGAAAGGCAAGGAAACGCAGACTTCACCAGCCCAAGTCAGCCCAGTGGGTCTTTCCAGTGAGGAAAGGGCCAGTGAGGACTGAAACTGACTGTGGGTCACTGCTGAGTCTTAGAGGCCATAGTGGGGTACCTGGGCAGGGCCTGCTCCCTCTGTCCTGTGGCCTCACAGCAGTGGGGGGGGTGGGACAGGCCAGCCATATGCTTCTCACCTGGTATGGGGGCAGATGTAGGGCTCTCCCCATGTCCGGAATCGGCTAAGGCTGCACCCATGCAAGGGGGCTCAAGAGGAGCCAGCTTCAAATCTCTGTGCTCCCAAGGTTCCCCCCCCCCCGCCCATGCCTTTCCTCTCTTCTCCTTCTCCCCCGCCACATACTTCACTCTGCCCCTCCCCCATAACTCCACACCCCTTTTTCCTCCAATACTCATAGCGAGAACTAAAACAAAGGGATGAGTATTTGGAGTCAAACACTTTATTTAAGTGTGTCCCCAAACTCAGGAATCAAGATAATAGATTAATGAGTATTTTTTAAATGAAAGTTAATGTGGACAGTCTACCACGAGGAAAGTACCCAGTGTGACACAAACAAGATATTAATCATGATCTCTCCCTTCAGCTTACTGAGCCTGCTGAACCCCTCTCCTGACCTCCTCCTCATCACCGCAAGCCCCGCAAGTCCAGCGTCCTCACCCTCCTCCCCACTTCTCCTTAGTCTTTCTCCTCTTGTTCCAAATTCTCGAGACTTTGACCCTGCCAGCTCAGCAACACTCCCCACTATCTGTTCACATCCTGTTCCTTCCAAACAAAGTTCCCCATAAGCCAAAGACTTGGTCTGACTTTGACCTTTCTGACCTCCTAGCAGAGGTTTCTGGATAAATTTGGTTACCATCCACCTTTTCTGAGAAACATCTATCACTCATTGCCTGCCCACCCCAGAAATCTAACTTCTTTACTTGAACAGAAAGTTCCCCGACTGCACCTGAGGCTTCTGCTGCCCCACCCCCCCGGATCATCCTAGTGCCCCCTCCTAGGGGACAATATCACTCATTGGGGGGAAGAGCCATAAGCAACAGTTCCTTAGCCTTTTTCTGACCAGTGCCTCTTTCCAGCCTTGCTTCCTCCCGGGTACCCTCTTGTCTGCCAGCTGGCACCTTAGTCTCATGCCATGGCCCCTGCTTGAGACATACTATAGCTCAGAGCCCTGGCTGGAACTCTGTCCAGTCCCATCTCAGTCTGGTTCATAGGTTTTTCCCAGTTCCCTGCATGGGAAGAGCTTGGGTCCTGTCCCTGCAACCTGATTGGATCCCAGTCTGCTCTTCTGGGGGCATTGAGGGCTCTTGGAATGGTACCTTCCCATTGGGGTCCTTGGGCTGCAGGCCAAATGCTCGGATGATGTAGATGCGGACCAGGCACTCCTGGGGCCCCTGGGCGGCCAGCTGGTGGAACTGTCTGGGGGGCATGGGGATGGACGGATCTTCTGGGAGGGGATAAATTTTGAAGTGACCCTGAAAGGAATTAAGGTCAACATTCATAATCATTATCATTACCACCAACACACTATAATTAAAGTTACTCACCTTGGCCCACCACTGTGATGACCAAGCCCAGTCCCATCTCATATCCAGTGTCAGATTGCATCTCAATGTCAACAGTCACCATGTCCATCACCCTCTTGGTCACCAACCCAGGACCATGAGTGCAATGACCACAGCAGCCCTGCCTTTGCCTCCTTCACTTATTGCTGCACCCCAAGTCTAACTTCCCCCATTCTGCCACACATCAAGTCATCTACTAAAGAATGTACCTTAAATTCCCCAATGACAGATGGGTCCTCTGTCTCCTCCTGAGTCTTGCCTCGGTAGAGCTTGAAGGTGTTGCAAAAGTCCGACAAACCCTCAAAGGCCTCCACATTCTCCAGTTGAGTGTCATAGACCTGCCAGATACAGGGATGAGCAAAGGAGACAGGAAAGAAAAAGAACAAGATGGCAACAAAAGAACCACCAAGAAGCAAGAGAAAGAGGGCGCGGTTAGAATGAAAGGAGGAAGAAAAGGATAGAAGAGGGAATGAGACAAAAGGGAATCAGAAGAACAAAGGCAATGAGAAAGTAGGGAAGAGAGGAGGAGCAAAGAGAGGGGCCAGAAGGAAGAGAGATGGAGGTGGCAAGAACAGAGGCAGAGATGGAAAGGATGCACGGTGGGAGTTAAGGGGTCAATGGGAAGACACTGGTCATTAGGAAATAGAGTTTTCTATTAAGCCAAATATTCTAAGCACCAGAGAGTCATCATCTCATGTGATTTTTGTGCATTTTTAAGAGAATAAGATCATGTTCAAATGTCAAATAAATGATAATTGACCCTCAGATCAAGTACAATGTAATATCAACTGCCAAGTTAAGGAGTTCTATTGAACATCATTATAATAAGTGAACTTTAATTTTTCTCTTTTCAAACACTCAATGACTTTTATTTATTATAAAAAGTGGTTGAGTTGCTTAATTCAGTTTAAATGAAGCAGTGGTTTCCTACTATTAATGACTAAATGTATCCAATAAACAGTATTATTAAATTATGCAATGCCATGCTAAATTCTACCTTAGATTGACAGATAAGATACTTCAGGTGGGTCCCTTTGTCATCTTAAGAAATATTATTTTGGGGCTGAAGCAATAGCACAGCAGGTACGACGTTTTCCTTGAACACAGCCAACCTGGGTTTGATTCCTAGCATCCCTTATGGTCCCCTGAGCATCAACAGGAGTAATTCATGAGTGCAGAGCCAGGAATAACCCCTGTACATTGCTGGGTGTGACCCAAAAAAAGCCATATATATATGTATATATATATAATATTTCTCATGTAGATCTAGCTCAACTGTTCTCTCTTCCATGGAACCCAAGTTCTTTCTCTTCCAAGACATATTTATGTAAACGATAGAGATTTTTTATCAAAAAAATAGAAAATATAGTAGCACTGCACTGTAGCACTGTCTTCCCGTTGTTCATCAATTTGCTCGAACAGGCCCAGTAACGTTTCCATTGTGAGACTTGTTGTTACTGTGTTTGGCATATCGAATATGTCATGGGTAGCTTGCCAGGCTTTGCCGTGCGGGCGAGATACTCTCGGTAGCTTGCCAGACTCTCTGAGAGGGACAGCAGAGTCAAACCTGGCTCAGCCAGGCCGGCGGCTTGCAAGGCAAATGCCCTACTACTGTGCTATCGCTCCAGCCCAGAAAATACAGTATATGTAAATAAATTTTTGTTATTGCCTTAAGTTCTGATTCCCCCCAAATTATTACTTGGTTAACACTTGGTATACATCATTTTGAATACATGTATTTGAATATACACTTTCCCTTGTATAAATATGTGTATTTATACAAATGTTGTTCTTTACTCCATTTTATTATTCTATAGGGTAAAACTTTAACTTATTTTTTACCAAAATAGTTAACCAACTACCTACATGTTATATTCGTTTAAACTATTTCTCCCTTTCCCCTTCACATGTATCACGTACTAAATGTTTGCAATCCTTGCATTTCTACGTAATCTATTCTGTTCTTTTTGATTTGTTCTTCTTTTCTTTTTTGGTGGGGGTAGGGGAACATACCCAGTGGCTGCTCAAGGACTGCTCTGGGCTCCGTACTCAGGGATTTCTTGGTTGTGGTTATGGGACTGTGTGGCACCAAGGATCAAACCCAAGCTCCTACATACACAGCATATGCTCCAGTGCATTGAACACCAGTGTTTGTGTTTGTTTTTTTTTTTTCCACGAACTTCAGGTTTCATTTCTCCTGCTTGATAACATGTTTTGTTACCTGGTAGTGAAAATTTCCCTTTTCGAGCACATGGCTCAGTCCCAGTTTTCAAATGAAATCTTGAAACATTCAGTACAACTTTAGACAAATGTGTCTTTGGAATTTTCGTTAGATCCACATTCAACTATAATTTTGGAGAGGGAATTGATATCTTCATAATATTCACTTTTTATCAAAGTATATAATCTAATTATCAACTCATTCAAGTTTCTTTTATTATGAGTTATAGTTATCTTTATTTAGAAGTTGCATCTTGATTGTTGAGTTTATTCCTAGATTGTTCCTAGTTGAATATATTTTGTTAGTCCTAAAAGTATGATTTTTCTGTTTGGGATTCTCTGAATCATAACAGATACAGAGAATCTGTACTAGAGCCTTTGATGATTCTATATTTTTTTTTCACTTAGTTCTCTTGTCCTTCAGAAGGACAAGCAAATCATCTGCACAGTTACATTATTTTTTCTCCTTCAAAAATGAATGATATATTCCTCTGTTGGTCACAAGACAACATGAGATACAATGGCCAAGGGGACTATGGTAAGCTGTTTCCTGTCTTTGGACAGAATTGGCCCCATGTTTCACTCAGCAGTTTAGCACATATTGAGTCACAGAGTACTTCAATAATTTATAATCAATAAATTAAGACTCTTCCCAAACAAGTGCCCTTATGAGATTTTTTTGAGAACTACAATATTCAATTTCAGGGGGTCACGAAGTCCAACACTGACTAGTGAATTTAAGAGATATTCTTTAAGAACATTAAGGAAATTCCTTTCTATTTCCAATATATTACTTGCCTTTAATCAGTTACTGATAATGAATTTTATGAGAATTTTTTTCAGTATCTACTGAAAAATATTTTGCTAATTTTACCTGTAGATATGATAAACATTACTAATAATTTCCTAATGTTAAATTATTTGCATTGCTGGATTAAAGTCAATTTGGCTATTCTGACTTACTATTTTAATATGTGGTTAGATTCCATTTGCTATTATTTATTTAAAATTTAGTACTTATGTATATGTTCCATGAGTAAGGTTGCTATGTATGGGTGGTCTTTATCAGATTTTGGTGGTAAAATAATTCTAGTTCTATAAAAACCAAGGCTTTCTACCTTTTCATTTCTTTCCTCTACCCTGGAATGGATCATAGGAATTAATCATTCTATGAAATTTTAGGAAAATTCCTTTCATAATCCACTGGCTCCAGCTTTCTCTTTGGAGGTATTCTTTGATAATTTCCTTGTTTCTCCCATAGTTGGTTGCTTTTTGAAACAGTCTTGCTATTTTTCTTTTCCCTCAAATGAGTTCAAAAAGATTTTCAAATCTATTAGCATGGAAACATACTCAGAATTATTCCTTAAAAATCTTAACTCTCCATTACTGCATCTCTTGTGTTTTCATAAAAGATTTTGGCTTTATTTTAGTCATCTTTAACTAAAGATTAATCTGTTTAGTTGGTCCGTTTCTATACAGGGAGCAGATCTTTGATGTATCAGTCCTGTTTTTTTCTCTTTTCTATATTTTATTTTCAAGGTTTTCTTTTAAATTCTAACTTTTTCACTTGAAGTTTTATGTACTTTGCAAACTAGTTTTCTCAAGAGGAAAATATTTCTTTCTATGAAATTGCTTTGACTTCCACAATTATTTTCATTGTATAATGCGTTTGTTTTTATTTCCTGGGCAATCCCTAATTACAGTTATATTTTTACTATTTGATCAGAGTCACATGCACAATTTTCTTTCATTATTTTAATTAGTATTAAGTGTTAGTATGCAATAGCACAGCCGGTGGGGTGTTTGCCTTGCATGCAGCCAATATGGCCGACCTGAGTTCTATTCCTCCACCCCTGTCGGAGAGCCTGGCAAGCTACCGAGAGTATCTCACCAGCATGGCAAAGCCTGGCAAGCCACCCATGATATATTCAATATGCCAAACACAGTAACAGTCTCACAATGTTACTGGGCCCGCTCGAGCAAACTGATGAACAACGGGAAGACAGTGACAGTGACAGTGTTTATAGCTATGAATTCTTCTGGATGCTGCTTTAGCATAGCCAGTAAATTCTGGTATGTCGTGTTTTGTCATTGTTTCAGATGCTCTGAAACTTCAGTTTGTTTGTTCTCCTTTTCCAAGAATTGTTCAAAGAAAAGGAACTTTTTTCTGGACATAAGAGGCATTGGGGTGTCTTGATCTTGTTAGTTTCTAAATTTATGACATTATAATCAGAAAAAAATAATAGTACTGTCATATTTTAGAATTTATTGTGCTTTTCTTCATACTTGTTTCAACATTAACTTCTATAACTGAGTCATAGGTAGAGTCTATGTTTGGATGCTATAAGGTTTAGCCTGGCTAATTATACTGCGCCTCTTCTACATTCATTCGTTCATTTTTCTTGACTTGATATGAACTGAGAGACATGAATTAAAATGTCTTACAACATAGCAGTATGCTCCAATTTCTTCTAATATCTCCTGCAACTTCTATTTTGCTACTATTGATATTGCACTATTTAGCCCAGGTTTTTTCAAACACAATCTCTTTTAATTAAACCCGTTAGCTTTATAAAGTGTCATTCTTTTTCTTATTTAATGTGGGAGAACTAAATAGCATCTAATATTAAGGTTGTAGCTTCTGCTTTCTTTCATTTGCTTTTGCTTAGCACACATTTCCCAGTATCTTATGTTCAACCCTTGTGAATATTTTAATATGGAGTTATATTTTGCTTTGCTCAGGATCTGATTTACAGTGTATCATGAGTAAGTTATTTATGTGACTAATATTAATATGACAGATAATTTGGTCTGGTTTTTATTCTTTTTATAGTCAGAATATGTTTATATTATATTTTCTATTCCATAGGTTTACTTCACAGTTAGTTTTCTGTGTGTGGATGCATGTTTGTGTGTGTGTGTTTATGCATGTTTGTAAAGTTCTCCTGAGAGCTAGGATAGCCTGAGTTTATGCTGTAAATATTATCGTAAGTTGATATACACTAATATTATGTTTTTATGATAATATTTGTCCTTAGAATATATGAAACAGAATTCATGAATTCCCTACTATAGCAATTATAAAACAAATTTTACCTCTCTTCCTCTCCATTATCAGCTTTATTTTATATTTTCCTTTTTCACTGTTTAAATTATTTATTTACATACATATTATTTTATTTACCAATTTTAAATAGTATATCATTTTATAGGGTGAGAAATACTGTGGTGACAATCAGTATCCTTGCTCTGTAGCTCCTCTCATTCCTTTTCACCTAATTTTATGTTTTGTCATTTCTACATATTTTTTTTAGTATGTTATGATATTTACATTCCATCCTGCTACCCTATCCTCGTCATTTGTTTTCATTTTAGGTCGAAGGTCCTTTATGGTTTTCCTGGTTATGCAGTTGAGATAGCTTCCAGATGAGCTCATCCCTGAGTTGCCCTCAAACTGGGTAATGGTAGGTTATTACCTACTCGGAGGTAGTTCAGAAACACGCAGACTTGAGTGTCTGTATACTTAGTTCTGGAGTGGCACTCGGCCTCACTCGCTGCCCTTTCATTCCTTGATGATCTTTCACACGGCTCTATCTTTGGATATGAAGGGAAGTTGTGGAAAAATTGAAAGTACCTTGATTTATTTACCATTTTTAATGAGGCTGAACTTTTTGTAGGGGAAAGTGCAACTCCTCACCCCCCAAAAATTCTTGCTTCATCTCTCAAGTCCAATAACATACACTTGGAGATGACTCAGGGCTGACCAATCTGACTCTATTTTTCCTGATGCACAGTGGACTTTGTAATAATAACACAATATCTTTCCTTTTACAGAAAAAAATACTAATCTCACAACTCTTTCTTATACCTTTACAATTCTCTTCCCTACTCCTTCTTCCCTACCTTCTTTTCTTCACACGATCTTAATTACATAGTCAGTATTTACCAGTTTATTCTTATTTTTTTATTTGCTCATAAATTTTACAATCTCATGTTTATTTTAGGAAAGCTTTAATAAGCTATTATATTTTATTTATTTCTATTTCGTTGTCTTGATCTGCTTGCTCAGAAACTCCAATTATGCAAATGTTGTATCTGATATTTTCTCTTAATTCTTTTACAACTCTTTGTTTCCATTTTATTTTACTTGCTTTGATCATTTCTGTCCTTACTATTTCCCAGTGTAGTCATTCTGCCCTGTGCTTCTTCAAGCTTCCCATTTCTTCCTTTTTTTTTTAACCTTTCCTGAAACCTACCAGTTCTTGATAAGTATCTTCTCATCTCACTATCCCTTGAGTTATGCCATTTCTGGCTTACATTCTGACTGTCCCATTTCTAATTATTCACATCAAAATATCTCATCTCATCTGCTCCTCATCAAAATATTTCTGGGGGGAAGAGAGACTCTTGATAAGATTTGAATTGTAGTTTTCCTTCTATTTTTTCATATAGTTTTGAATGAATGCTGAATTATTTTTCTTTATTGCCTCTAAATGTTTTGGTTTTTCCCAAACTGGTTATTTCCCTTGTGGCCACCTGCACTACTTCCTGAAAATACCACTCTAGAGTGATTTTTTTGTTTATGTGTAGCTCCATCTTCTCTTTTTTTGAACCAGGCCTAAGGAGCTTTTGTCACCAGCCTAAATCTATCTCCAAAGTTCTTGAATCCATGATTGTAGTGATTTTTTTTTTACTGGCTTTACTGGCTAATGGCGAACTTTAATTTTAGGAACTATACTTTTAATTTTGTATAATGAAAATGTCAAGCTTATACACATATGAAAGAAGAGAAAACGAATCTCTATGTATATAAAGCCTGCCTTCAATAATTAACAGCATTCTTTCATTAGGGATTATGAGGTTTTCAGAGATCTGCTACCACTAGGACCTTTCATCATTTTCATGCATCTTCTCTTCATTTGCTGTCAAGTGGGATCCCACCCAATCTCGGTTGCCTTTGGACAGCACTTGCATGTATTTTGGAGTCTGCGGGTTTTATTTGTTTCCAACTTTTACTGAAAATGGAGTTTGTGGGTTTGAATGATTTCCAGGCGAAAAGGGGGAAAATGCTGACTTATGTAGCCATGTTCATACTGGAAGTCCCAATAAAATACTTTTTAAATTTTCCAAGTGGTTGGACTTTTTTGTTTAAACGTTTGTTATTAATTTCTCATTTTATTACATTTTAATCTAGCTTGTATGATTTCTGCATTTGGTAACATATTACTAAACTAATACGCAATCAAATTTTGTATTTTCTGAGCATTAGGAAAATATATCCTTTAGGGGTTTTTTTACCTATTTTTAATCTCTGCTTATAAGTTATAGGTTTTCACAGCACTCAAAATGAGAAAGATAACAAAAGGGAATGCCCTGCCACAGAGGCAGGGTGGGATGGGGGGATGGGGGTGGGAGGGATACTGGGACTGGTGGTGGTGGAGAATGGGCACTGGTGGAGGGATGGGTATTCGATCATTGTATAACTGAAACCCAAGCACAAAAATTTGTAAGTCTACAACTGTACCTCATGATGTTTCACTAATAAAAATTAAAATCCCCACTGCAACTTTAATTTTTATCACGTAATTGTCTTATTGTATGTGGTATTAATTTTTATTTTCCTACCCAATTTATATTTAAACATATAAGGTTTACTGTTCTATGTATAAGGGTTCAACAGTTTTTAATTGAAACATATCTTTTATTTATATAAAATATTATTTTTCCTTAAACTCTATGCTTTTCTTCTATTTGCATTTACCATATTTTGTTTGTCAAAATATTAATGTAGCTATTCTAAGTCGCAATAATTTTGGAAATATTTTTCAAAGAAGGTATAGAGAATCTGAACTTATGATACAGTCTAAGAGACCTTGGAATGTGAAAGAGAAATTTAATTTATTTTTATGTGTTAGGAAAACAATTCTTTTTTTATTCTTTTCCCTTCATGTTTTCCTACAATTTTTAAAATTCTTTCTTGTTGTATTTCAGTTTTCTACCTTTTGCCCTATGAGTTGTTTTTCCCTCTAAGCTAGTGATTTCCAAAACCTCTCTCTCTCTTTCTCTCTCTCTCCCCTCCCCTTCCTCTCTCTTTCCTTCTTCCTCTCCCTCTCCCTCTCTCTCTCTCCCTCTCCTCATTTTGCACTCCATAACGCTACAGGATATTTTTTCAAAAACTCTTGGTGGTGGTGGTTGTTTTCTTTAATTTACTTGTCCCTAAAGGACCAGCGTTCCTTCCCGTCTGGTTTCAACCCCCCAGAAACAGGTTGAATGCAATTTTTTTTTGGACAGCCCATTTTCCCTTGGATACTCTGAGAGCTCCTTGGAGAGGTCAAGCTGAAGGAAGGGCTGGGTGCCAGTTCAGCATCCGGTATCTGAGAGAGCGGCAAAAGGGCCAGGGCCATGGGCCACCCTGGCAGTCCTTCTCGTTCATACTTGATTTTTCTCATTTTTGGGTCAAGGCCACAGTACCACTTGCCAGACTTAATGTGTCGGACCTTCTTCATGGTACACAAATAATCCTGTTCCTCTGCCCACACTCACACACCCTGCTATCCAGTCAATAGAGCACTTGCTGCCTGAGGTCACCTCTGCCCGAGGCAACACTGCTGCTTCCAGTGGCCTTAAACCTGCACCTTCAGGTCTCTGGGCATAGCTCATCTGGAAGCTTCCAGTGTCTGAGACTCTGGTCTCACTGCTTGTGAAATCCTCTCAGAGTGTCCATCTTAGGCTTCAGCTAGTGAAATCACTTGGACATCCAGATCACCCACTACTTTACCTGCCACATGCAAGGCAAGCATCTTAACCCCCGTACTATAAGGACATACATACTTTTATATTTCCTATATAATTTTTTTCTAGTTATAGGAGAGGGGACATCAGAGATACACTCTAAAACTAACTTTCATTTTTCATACAAACTTTAATGGAGAGCTCAATCACTTTAAAAGAGACAGGACAGGATAACAAATCCCTCCATATAAGCCATCTCGAAGATTTATGAATTTTCAATATTTTACAATTTCAAGAAATTGAACTATTTTGAAAATCTACCAGAGGACCCTTATCCCTTTGTCCTTTTTCTTTTAAAAAAAATTATAGCATTTAAAAACAAATCTCAGGCATCATTTTTACTTATACTTATTTTAGTATTTTTTAGCATTCTTCAAAAAAAACGATTTTCTGCCCTGCCCACCAGAGCAATTGACTTCTTGCTTTAAACTATGCATAATATTACTCATCTCAATTAGTTCATAACAACATATGGCTCTAAGGCAACAAGAGAGAGATTCTCTATTGTCACCCTCATGTAGTCACCCGTCTCAGGTACTCAGGGACAGTCAGACTGAAGAAAGCACAAGAGGCCTCACCTTTAGAGTGTCATAGTCTTTCTCCAAGTAAGAGCCACACTTTTCCCTCTCGCCTATGGAGGCATAAAATTTACTCCACCAGTCAATGAACTCCTCCTCCTGAATGGGTAAGAAGAATGTTACACTTAAATAATCATGGTACACAAATAATCTTGTATAAATAATAATACTTAAAAACACAACACTTGGCAACAAAGCCCTCCTGCAACAGACACCAAACAAAATCTGGCCTGCCTGGACTTCAAGCTGTTCTGTTGGGTGAGTTCACGGGAGCAGAGAGCCGGGACTTCCTCCTTTGCAGAGGCAAAAATGGCACAGACAGAAAGAAAAACGTGACATCCTCTTGGGATCGAGAAGCAGTGTTCTAACCCTGGCCCCACCCTGATCCTGTGATCCTGTGAAGCAATCTGGGCCTCCCTCTTCCTTTCTTGTGAAGTGGCTGTAATCACCCTCTGCATTCCAAGGACGAGCAGAAGCTAAAATCAGAAGATGTATAGGGTAACTTGGCGGGTAGAGAGGGGGAAATGGGACACCAAGAATGTGTTATTTATGAAGAACATGCAGGAAAATGCAACCCCCAGAGAGCTATCCTAGATCTCCTTTTACAAACTCAGCAATAAATAAGTAAATAAAATTAATAATAATAATGATAAGCTTCAGAATCAGAATTTAGCTTCCTCCAAGACCAATCAAGGCAGGATCACTAAACCTCAGATACTCTGAATATCCATTACTCAAAAAAACTGTACTCAATGGAGGAAATGTATTGTCAGGAGAAAGAAGCCAATGAAAACCCTCTCGAAACCCTTTCCTTTTTTCACTGGCTCACAGTTGTCAAGAAGGTGGACATGGGGCTGGAGCGATAGCACAGCGGGTAGGGTGTTTGCCTTACAGGCGGCCGACCAGGGTTCGATTCCCAGCATCCCATATAGTCCCCCGAGCAATGCCAGGAGTAATTCCTGAGTGCAGAGCCAGGAGTAACCCCTGAGCATCATCGGGTGTGACCAAAAAGAAGCAAAAAAAAAAAAGGTGGACAGCAACACACTGGTCTCCCTAACATTCACTCCCCCTGTACCTTATGTCTACAGAACCCACTGGTTCTAGAACGCTCCTCATCTGGGACATGCCAGCAGAGAGTCAGCAAGTTTACTGCGGGTGGGATGCTTACTCTACCCCGAACCTTTTCAAAACCCTGTGCAGGGCTGGGCACGGTCTGTGCCTGTGGTAGCATTAAGGCTGGCCCAGTTCAGAGGGAAGAGCCAGGGCATGGAGCCAGGAAAGTCCACACGGGATTCACTTTTCCTCCTCTATACAAGGCAGTGAGCCACAGCTCCCAGGCGCCTATTCAAAACCTATGAAATGAACTGAACGTCTATCACGGAGAGTCTGAAAATGCAAGTGGCTCTCTTAGGACCTAAGCCCAGTCTTTGGAGCTCTGGCTTATGAAACTGAGCACAAGCACAACCTCGTCGGATAGTTCTGGATGGGAGATGTGTGCGGAAAGTAGATAAAGGACCAAACATGATAGTCTCTCAGTATCTGTATTGCAAACCATAATGCCCCAAAGTAGAGAGTATGGGGGAAATTGTCTACCACAGAGGCAGGGGGAGGGGTGGTATGCGGGGGGGATACTGGGGATATTGGTGGTGGGAAATGTACACTGGTGGAGGGATGAGTGGTCGATCATCATATGACTGAAACGCAAACATGAAAACTTTGTAACTGTAGTTCATGGTGATTCAATTTAAAAAAAAAAGTACACGAACAGCTGAATGGGAGAACAGAGGGAAGATTCTCAGTCTGCACCACCCTGGAAGTGATGTCAAAACACTTTGGCTGTGGCAAAATGTGTCCTCAATCACTCAGCATGGACATCAGGTGCTGGAAGCAGGCTGAGCCTTGAGAGTCCTCATGTTGACCAACTTACCAGGAGGATCCTCTGGAGCCAGGAGAGAGGAAAAGAGGTTCAGTGGGTTAAGATACTAAGAAGCAGACTTTTCTGTCTTATAACCAGTCTTTGAAAATAAAACAAAATAAAATAAAGCTAGCATAGGACAAGGCAGATTCCAGTCCTGATGCTTTAAGTTCAACTGAAGAATGGTATGGATGAATAGACATACACAGACATACATGTCAGACTCACATGGTCATCAGCCCTTACAGATTCAGTTTAAAGAGACTGTATAGAGAGACAGTCTTCAGAGACTCATCTCCCCCTCACCACACACATACAAACATACGTACAGGGAATATTACTATCAGTCCAGACAGAATAGAATTCAAGATAGCTATTTGAGTTCTCCTAAATTTTGTTTTTTCTTTCCCAGCCCAGATCATTTTAAAATCTGAGTTTATGACTCAGACTCCAGGTACAAACTAGTGTGTTTGTACAATGAAATGACTAAAATGTACCAGCTAAAGTAAGATTGTTACAATTCCTTCCATCTGGGAAAAAAATGTAAAAAAACAAATTCAACATATGGGATAAAGAATCTAGGTCCTGAGAGACAGTTCAGTGGTTTGGGTTGTGTGCTTTACATGAGGAGATCCAGGTTCAATTCCTAGCACAGAGCAGATTATGGATTTTAAAAAGTGGGTGGGATCTAAATTAAACCATTTAACAGTGCCAGTTTAAATAGATAAACATTATGCAATCTAAAAACAGAAACTAATCCCTTCTGTTCCAGTACCAGAGAAAAAATTATAAGCCACAAAGCAAATCTCAATAATGTCCAAGAAATAAAATCTGTATCAGTCACATTCTTCTACCATACTTCAATAAACCTAGAAACTAATGAGAAATCTTAAAATTTAAATTTCCAACACTTTAAAAACCTAAAGGCACACTTAAAAGCCTTCAGGATGGTTTTTAGACCACAGCTAAATCTAAGCTAAAATCTCAGATACTTAAAAAATGCAGACATTGAGAGGGACCATAATCCCAAATTTGTGAATTGTAGCTAAGATTGAATTCAAAGGAGAATTTACTCTTCATGATTTTTGTTTAAGAAAAATTAAAATAAATAAAATGATAGCTGAAGAAAACATCAACAGATCGAGAAAAAAAGGAAGTACAAAATTGTGAAATAATAAGAAGAAATTAAATTCAGAAGAAAGAGAATATTATAATTGATAATTTAACCCTGAAGGCGTTTCAAAAGGCCCATGAAATGAACAGTTATCAAATGTGAATATACCATTAGAGAGAAGGCAGAGCATATAAAAGGCTATTATAGCAAGAAAAAATTAAGATTTACTATGTCCAAATGATTACCAAAGCCTTAAAAAATCTGTATAAGCTAAAATTTTCTTGAAAAATATTAGCTGCCAAAATTTCATCAAAAGTAATAGAAAATATGGAGAGACAAGTAGCTCAGAAAGTGGTATCAATCTCAAAGAAAGACCTCCAGAAAAATACTGGACCAAGAAGTTTTCTTTGGAGAATAGTTCCACCAATCTTTCAATGAGTAAATCATTCTTTGTTTCATAGCATAGCCGAAAGTTTCCCCCTTCTTCTAATAAAGTCTAGCAGAAACACAGATTAATCTCCATACCAATACTATGGAAAGAAAACTCAAATGATCATCTATAACAGAAATCTGAAAACTCTGGACTGCTGGCTAGCTCCCTAATTTTGTGACTTGACTATTGTCTGTGGCTGTTTTATAAAAGAATTGAGTAGTTGCTACAGAGACCTTCCTCACATCCCCCAAACTTAAAATATCACCATGTAATTCTGAAGGGAAAAGTTTGCCAAGCAATATGTAGCATGCATAAAAGGAGAAAGGGGTGATTTAAATTTTCATTCTTTCTAAATCAAACTCTCAATGAATTCAGAACAAAAGGAAGCTTTCCTAAATATTCTTAAAGGATATGTTCAAGCACTAGCTAGCATTGTGTTTAATAATACCAGACTTTCTCCCTTCTGAATTTTTGGAGATATGGTTGTCTCCGCCAATATGTTTTATGTGATATGGTTATAAAGAAGCAGTAAATCAGAGCATTTGAGAGCCAGGACTTGGAAGCCTAACGAGCAGGGTTAAAATCCTACCATTCTAGCGTTACAACCTTGAACAACTACTTTACTTCTTTGAGCCTCAATTATCTTATCTGTAAAATGGAAAAAATAGTAACGCTAATTTAATAAGGTTGTTGTGAGTGGTAAGTCAGTCATCGTATCTAAAGTACTTCAAACAATGCCTAAGACACAAACACATGGAAGTGTTTCCTGCTTTCACTCGTCTCGGTGCTGTTTCTTTTGTGTGGATCAGTTAGCTTCTTGGCCCAAAGGCTGGCTCTCTCACAAGCTGCCAGCAGGAGTGTAGCTGGCTATAATCTTTCCAAAAGGCAATTTGGCTTCCACAGCCTTAAAAATGTCCCATCAATCCTGTTCTAGAAATTTGTCCAAAGAAAGTAATCATAGATATGCATAAAGACTTAACTTCATTTATTATAGTGAAAACTGGAAGCAATTCAAGTTACCCTACAATAAGAAGTTATTTGGGTAAATTATATAGCCATATGATTACAAGTTCTACAACCAAAAAAAAAATAATGATGCCATATATTTTGATGAGACGATGAAATACATTTGTTAACATAGAAAGCTATTTACAACTGATGAAATTTATAAGAGGTTATAAATTTATAAAATATTTATAAAATGGACAAAGTTTAAAACAAATTATAAAGGCCAAAGGGCTGATAAATATTTAAGTGCTGTGATTTCATTTTAATAAAAGCCTTAAACAATGTTTTATTAAACATCAAATGTTCACAGAAATTATATCTGAATGATAAGACTGTAAATGTTTTGTTCATTTATTTTTCTGTTGTGTGTCACTCAAGATATTCTAGTTTTCCCTTGCATGCACATATTCCTTACAGAATTGTTTAAATAGATGAATTTAAAATAAACAAAAAATCAGGATGCTTCATAAAGACATCACCAAGAAAGTAAAAAGATAATTCACAAAGAGGAGAAAATATTTGTAAATGATATATCTGGTAAGGGGTTTGTAATCAAAATATGCATAGAACTTACATAGTTCAATGACAGAAACTCCTAACTGCAGTAATTAAAGAAGAAAAAAATCAAA